AGAATATAGAGTAGTTCCATGTCCGTTCTCTGTGCAATTCAATGTTATACCATGGTTACGTCAGCCGAGACAAGCATACGGAATTGTACGTGGTTCAAGTTAGTGGAGCGCGACACAATTCACTTACTTACCTACCTTTACCACTACAATCGCCCAGTCCCGGCTAAAGCATAACCCATGGCCTGTAACATCGTTAGCAGTATGGTCTACGTCGATCGCCTAAGTCTAGCCCCATAAAACCGCTTTAACTCTCTTAATTTCGTTTCCCACATCACATGTAAGGTGTAAAAAGTGAGCTTAACCCGGGTGTACAGACGCGTGCGTATAAGTTCTCACCGAGGCATTCATGAATTTATTCAGAGCAGTCATTGGGCGATGTCCTAAGCGCAGATTGTCTCTTATCTCTTGACCTAGATTATTTCAATTATTTACCGACGTCGGCCCATTATGCATCATGAACTAACCGACGCATTGGTGCTTGTCGCGAGGATATCCCCTGGTGAAGGCAATTGAGCGCTTTTGGCCATAACAGGGATTACGACGGCCACAACTACAACCCGGTCGGCTTCAAGACACGGGAGCGCCTACACTAATCAGGGCCTAAACCATTCGCCGGTGATCGTTCCAAGCTTTGTCGCGACGACGATTTCCCAGTTAGTAGAACAGTACCTGGTGAAAGATCGCTTCAACCCGTTGATGACGACAACGATGACACGACCGCCCGAATGCGCAGTTACAAAAGCGAGAACATAGTCGGGGCGGCCGCTGTGTGTATCGGTAAGCCGTCTTTGATGAAACGTAAACTCAATTTTGTTCGTGCGATGGGCGCCGATATGACGAGGTTTGCCATGCCAAATGAGTCAATGCCTACTTTGAAGTCGATCCCAGTGTATCGCTAGTACAGAGGGACCGAGTGATAAATCATGGATGTTTATGTGTACCGGGTCACAGTAAGAGGGCCCCGAATCGGTCCCGGGGGACCACGGCGTTCGAATAAAGGGGCATAACACATGTTTGTTTATAGAGAAGCTCGACACGTTTCACCTGGATATGCTGTAGTCCTACCAACATCTATGACTCAAGGGCTGCTCTGTCGTAAGCTACCCCCTTCAATCCGAAACTTTATGCTCGGTTAACACCTTATTTACTTGCGCACAGACGAATCAAGATTAACAATGAATATGATGCCTCTAATATGTCGATTCCTAATAAGAAAAATTTGAGGATTGGCTGGATAGAGAGACGACTGGCAGTCTCTCGCAATTGCGTGCATAAAGCGTGTCATCTGCATCCTCCGGACCGGGTACACTATTTGTCGTCCTTGGACGTGTTTTGGTAAGCCCATTGCGAGTTGGTGTCCAACGTTCGCGGCTTGTCCTGGTCTCGGCGGGTCTGTTCATTTCCCAAACCAGCCGCCCTGAGCGACGATACGTCAGCCCGCGCCCTGTCATCAATCAAACCGTCGCAAAATGCGACGGAATGTCCAACGGATTATCTATTTCTAGGCACAGAAAATTTTTATCGCACGCCGCTCAAGGACTCGGTCGCTTGCGATCTACCTCGGAGGATCGTCTGACAGTTATGAGAATCGTTATTACAGGGGGCGTTAAAGGGGGAACATCAGCCCTCAGGGTACAAACGAGGTAAGACTAATATCATTAATACAGCCGATCCCTGCGTCCCATTGGTCATAATCCTTGTTTCAAGGTGCCGAGTTTACCTAGTTGGGCACGTCAGGTATCAAACACCAACCCAATTCAGCAGGCTCGGTCCTAAGGTTCGAAGGCTGTCGCCTTTGCCATTTGACTTAAAACCGACCAAAACGGCTGTTTGAGCGATCAGGATGCTTGTTCATTGGGGCACCGGCTTGCGATCTTCCTCTCACCATGCCGCACTCGTCGTCAGGTAAGGCCCGGCCGTCCATCGCCGATCTGGAGCAAGCCGCGCTATCGGTGATTCACCTGATGCAAGGTGTGGCCGGGCTCGCCAACATCCGGCTTGCCCTCATTGGCGACTTAGCTGTTAAGAAGTACCTAGAACAGCCAGGCTCTTGCGAAGTAAGTCGAGGACAAACGACTTGAATGGGGTCGTTGAATGCTAACCGGATTCGCTAGAGTATAGAGTTCATCACCACGTCGGCATCGCCAAGTCAAGTAAAGAAGACCCTTCTCACTCATGGAAAGGCGTTTATTACCGAGAAAGCGCAAGCCATATTCTACCGGCACCCAGCCGGCTGGGTAGTCGAAATTAAGATCACGCCTGAGTGGCTTTGCCCTTACTTGCCCAGCTCAGCTCAGCTGATTGCGGACATCGAGAAGCTGCCCTACATCTCCCTCGCAGATCTCTTCGTCTTCAAGGCCGATGCCTGTGGCCTTCACGAATCAGACGCAGGCAAGCAGAGACAAGTGCGTGATGCCGGCGCGCTTTTAGAGCTTGCCTCGGAGCACTTCCCTCTGAAACTAGAGGAGGACAGGCTGCAGAGGGTAGAAGAGGCTCTCGACACACTCGTGGATTATTCGCCGCCGGAGTACGATCGGAGATGGTGGGAGAGGCGGCTGGGCAAACAAGGCGACAAGCGGCGGTCCGTTCAAGACATCCTCTCGGAGCTCGGCGAAGGACTGCGCCTCGACGAAGAAGAGAGCCGGCGGATGAGGAGACGGCCGAGCGTCTTCTCTCTCAGCAACAGAGGCTCCGATACCTCCATCAATTCTACCCCGTCCATATCGTCGCAGAGCTCGACACCCCTGTCCTCGCCACCTCCCAAGATGCGACCGAGGAAGATGAGCGCGAGCGGATCGTACCCGCGACCGCGCAGACACACGCAGACGAATATGGACTCCCAGCTTGAGGATCAGCCTGTATCCCCAGTGCACCAGAGTTTTCGCGATATCAATCGGCTGTATGCCGAGTCGATGGATACCAGCGGGCGAAGCTCGCCAGGCATTTCTTTCATGACGTTTCCGGGGAGAGGGAGATAAAGACAGCATATGTAGCCGGCTTGTTTTGGTTATGGTAAAAGTTTCGTCTGCGTTTTATATGCTGCATTTCGAATACCCCCATAGAATATTGGTTAGGATATAGAGTAATGAAGGATCAGTCCCCCGCCGCGTCGCGTGCAGAACATTGAGCCAGGCCATGCTAGTTAACCAGTGATTGTCAGGCCTTTGATGAGGGAGATATATGGTGTCTCTCTGAACAAGTGCTTTAACTTCAAGGTGTAATCCAACAGAGCGGTTCGCGAGATACTACCAACGGGGCGAAACTATACCCGCACGCACACGAGATGAGTAAACTAAAAAAAAATCGATACGAAAAACACCACGCTACTAGAACACCAGTTCCTGGCTTCACTCGACCACACGCGAGACTCTTAACCCTAACTAGCTTTTAACGTATGCCTTTTAGTGCTGTTGATCTAGACCAGCCATCTTGCAATCTCCCGATCTACAAGACAAAGGGCGTTCCGGATATGAACCAGCCTAGCGCACGAAGCCGTTTTGGCGCCCTTGGCGCAACGACAACAACCGTTTAGACATACCTCAGGTTTCTACCAATAGAGGGGGCCTCCCAGCGTTATACTACAGTCTCAAATTGTTACATCTTAGTCGTTATCATGAGGACTTAGTGTGAACCTGCTTCTGCATGATGCCTCTACTGATGTCTATCCCAAAGTTTCGACGAGATTGTTCCAGCGTTATCCACAAGTCCTCCTTTAAGCATCTCGTTAAAAGTCTTCAATCTGCGAGGCTTTTGGGGTGTTTTTTTTTTTTTTGGGGGGGGGGGGGGGGGGGGGGGGGGGGGGGCCCCCGCCACAAAAAGCAATTTTGTTACCAAAGCATATTATTTAATAGTTATTTTT